AGGCACGCAATGATCTCTCATGGGACAAATTCCCAGAGTCCCCTGAGCCTATCTATGGAACTCAATTCTTGCCAAGGAAGTTCAAAATTGCTGTTACAGTGCCAACTGATAACTCAGTGGATATTCTTACAAATGATATTGGCGTTGTTGTTGTGACTGATGACAAAGGGGAGCCTCAGGGGTTCAACATATATGTAAGTTGAAATAAAATGATTGTTGAACAAAAGTTCTCTTGCCTTTTCGTGATTTTTTCCTGTGATTGTGCTTGCAGGTTGGTGGGGGGATGGGAAGAACACATAGGCTGGAAGCAACTTTTCCTCGTTTGGCTGAACCTCTAGGTTATGTGCCTAAAGAGGATATTCTGTATGCGGTGTGAATGGAAGCAATTGTTGTTACACAACGAGAAAATGGAAGAAGAGATGACCGTAAGTATAGTAGAATGAAATATTTGGTCAGCTCATGGGGAATTGAAAAGTTCAGAAGTGTAGTTGAGCAATATTATGGCAAGAAATTTGAACCTTTCCGTGAATTGCCTGAGTGGGAGTTCAAAGGTTATCTGGGTTGGCATGAGCAGGTTGGTTCCTTAGATGAGTGGATTATATCTGATGCCTTAGGCTGGTTCCTTAGATGAGTGGTTAATATCTGATGCCTTTATTAGTATTCTGGGAAAGTTGTATGATTGACATGCAATATTAATATGTTACGTTTTTGCTAATCAACACCATCCATATTGTGGTTGACTTGCTTGATTAGAGAATAATGGTCTAGAGTATTGGATATGTTCCATGTACACATTGTGGAATCAAATCTCATATCTGATACGAGGACAAAGCATGTTTCATCTCGAGCTTTCCTATCTGACAAAGTCAAAGTTGTTTCAATCCTGTTTGCCTTGTGGGGGCATGCCATTTATAATATTGAATATGTTAATAAAATAGCATCAAGCAGTTTAATTAAATATAATTTAAAGCCTCAAGTTCAATATGGTGTAGGTTTTACTAATTTCTTGTATGATGTAAGTTATAACTCTTTAGAGATGTGACCAAATTATGCTGTGTGAGAAAACTACATTCATACCTCTCTTTTAAGTCCTTAAGTACTCTTTAGCTGACAACCGTTGATGATGATTTTTTTGCCAGTTTGCCTAAACGATTGTTTCATTCCATAAGCATCACAGGCTCATTTGTTAACTTCCTTTTTTGGCAGGGTGATGGCAGTTTATTTTGTGGACTTCACGTTGATAATGGTCGTATTGCTGGCAATATGAAGAAGACATTGCGGGAAGTTATTGAGAAGTACAATTTGAATGTTAGGATTACTCCAAACCAAAACATCATCTTGACTGATATTCTTGCTGCATGGAAACGGCCCATCACTTCAGTTCTTGCCCAAGCTGGTCTGCTGGTGAGGATTTTACAGCTTGCTTGAATTATATGATCTCTTGAAAATAAAGATCAGCCTGATTGCTTTATTGCTGAATTATATTTGTATGCCAAGTACTTCTCTACTTTGCTCATTAACTTCAAATGACATGTCTTCATGGCAATGTTTCCCGTCTTAATTTAGTATGTTCTAAGTATTTTTTCAGTGTTTGTAACGGATGGACCATGTTACTGTTTTAATATGTTGATCCTTTTGCGATGGTCCTGTGAATGAAACTACTTTTAAACTTTGATTATCAGAAAGTCTTTAATTATAAATGGAAGGTCTATAACCCGAGGTTGGCATTTGACAAATCATACAAGGAATGATCAAAATTCTCTTGTTAGTTTTCTCCTATTTTTTCTTTTTATTTTCCCTATCTTTTCTGTTATCTATTTGGGGACTTATATTTATTTGATGCTGCCCTAGTTTTGTCAGTTGTCATAATGTGTCTATGCTGACCTGTTAGCTTTGAACAGCAACCTAGATATGTAGATCCCCTCAATTTAACAGCCATGGCTTGTCCTGCTTTACCCCTTTGTCCACTGGCAATTACTGAAGCTGAACGTGGGATACCCAACATTCTCAAGCGGATTCGTGCAGTTTTTGAGAAGGTACCGGAGCCAATAGAGGTTTAACAATTGATAGTATGGCTCAAAGTTCAGGATTCTTTATAAAAAGCTTTCTCCTTGTGATTTAGGTTGGGCTAAAGTATAGTGAGTCTGTTGTTGTGAGGGTAACTGGTTGTCCTAATGGATGTGCTAGACCATACATGGCTGAACTTGGACTGGTTGGTGATGGCCCCAACAGCTATCAGGTATGTTGATCCATGGGTTTTCCTGCTTACAGTTGGCAGACAATTTCTAGATATATCGAATTCACTTTTCCCTCCCTGCTAATGCAGATTTGGCTTGGAGGAAAGCCAAATCAAACAGCTTTAGCTCAAACTTTCATGGATAAAGTAAAAGTTCAAGACCTTGAAAAGGTTCTGGAACCTTTATTTTATCATTGGAAGCGCAAGAGGCAATCCAAAGAATCATTTGGCGACTTTACATGGCGCATGGTGAGTTTTGAAGCCTTCTTTCTTTCCACATCTCTAGGTTAGATGCTTCCATTTCTTTCTTGTTAGTTATAGGGTGGTTAGAGTAAAATTTGGGGTTAAGCATCACCATTTTCTGTTTCTAGGGATTTGAAAAGCTCAAAGAATTGGTGACCAAATGGGAGGGTCTTCCGGTAGTACCAGCACGCTACAACCTCAAGCTTTTTGCGGACAAAGAGACATATGAAGCAATGGATGAATTGGCCAAGCTTCAGAACAAGAACGCACATCAGTTGGCCATGGAAGTTGTTCGGAACTTTGTTGCAAGCCAGCAAAATGGAAAAAGTGAATGACTCCTTGGCCAAGGAACGCATATGCAGTGAAAGGTTGATACATGAATGGCCATAACCTACAATTCTCTGAGCTGTTTGCTGTCCTGTAACAGTTAAAACTAGCCAGTCTCATTTTGTATCAAAATTTTGGGTGCTTGTCTTGTCCTATATTCACATGACAGCTTGGTTTTTTTTTTTTCCCCCACTTATCCGGTTAGGGAAGCGTTTTTCAGTTTTGGTTCTTGCTTCAATAAGGCCATGTGTTACAGGATTTGTTATTGTAACATGTTCACTACTAATCAGTGCTGCAGATAAGCTTTTGTCCACTGGTAGCTTTGGTTTTGCCTGAAAGATGCCATTTATGTTGATGGTTCTCCCAAATTTATGTTTAACTTTTCAGTCTATTTTCTACCCAAGAGAAACTAACTAGGGAACCGCATCAACAAAGGCGTATAAATGACCTAACATTGATATGCTTGTCTAGGGGATGATGATGGGCGGGATTATGTAAAACATTCTCTTGTTTAGGTTTTTCTTTTTCTTTAGTGTTTGATCTGCTTCAAAGGCTTAAGATGCTGAATAAAATGAGCCCAAGATTTGAGTTTGCTTGAAAGACCATTTGTCTGAGGATATTGCTTCTCTAGGTTAAGTGGAGAGACTAGAAAACCGGCGTCTAAAGATCTATTTTCACATCTTACTTGACTAATTTGAAAAATCAAAGAAGCCAATTAAATTAGCTAATTATAATAAATGTCATATGATTTCTCTGAAATATCTTTGTACAACATTAAATTATATATCATTTATAAGTTAATGGTTTAAGTGCTGCTTAATTTGTTTACATTGGTCATATACAAATCAGATATAAACAGTTTATATTTTAATAACATTTTCCCCTTATTTGATATTTGTTTATTTTAATAAATTTAAAGTTTTATTTTGAATCACAATTAAAATAATATTTTACGTAAACTAATATAAAACTTTTATTATATATTTATTTTGTATTTCATAAATTATAATTAAAAACTTTTTAAAAAACTATTTGTATTGAATTCTCTTGAATGTGATGCAGTCACCCAAATCAAATTGTACTCTGTACATGATTAGGGACGGATCAGGCTCTCTTAAACCTAGAAAGGCATGGTTTACCCTGTAGTGTTTTATTGACCGTAAAAAAGTGTTTGGATAGAAACCAAATCATGTTTTTAGAAGTGATTTTATGATATACAAAGTAAATATGTAGAAGAGTTTATTTCGATTTGTGAAAAAATATTTTTAAAAAACGATGTTTCCAAACACCCCCTAAATTTACAGAACCAATTCCAAAGTGTTGCACTGCAATGACTTCAAATCTACGTGCCAGACCAATCTGAAAAGAAATAAAAGCTTGTTGTTTCTGTTTTTTATTTTTTATTTTTTGAAAATGATTTTATCAAGTTGTTTTCCACAAAAAGTTTTGAGAATAAATGAACAAAAAAAATGGATATTATTTTTAAAAATCACATTTGGCAAAGAGTGTCCACCACCGAAAGTGATATGTAGCAGGCGGTGAATGAGGAGAAAAAAAATTTCTCTAATATTTCAAAATAAAAAATTCAACAACAAAAACAAAGAAACATCTAAAAATTGTTTTGATTTTTTAGTTTTTTAAAACATATTACTCTTTCGGTCTTAAATATAAAATCTTTATACATATTATACGATTTATATTTAGAATTAGAGGAAATACTTTTTTCTATCAAAACAATCAACTAGAAACAAATTATCAAACAATTTTTTTTAATTTTTTGGCTTTGATTTTATAAAAATAGAAAATTGTTTTCGAAACAAGAATCCAAACAAGTTCAAAATTTCCTCATCAATCTTTCTCCCTGTTCTTTGCTTTCCCAGTTTCGCCCCAGTTTGTATTTTCCTTTTTGTCAATGATACCATAAAAGGCAATCATAAGCAATTCTGAAGATTTCAAATCAAATTAAGCTGATAACTTCTCTGATGTAACCTTTGGAAGACACTGGAAACAAACATTTACTATGGTAAACTTGTGTTCTGTGAACTGGGGCGGAATCAGGATTTAATTACAGAAGATTGTACAAAATTTGCACAAGTTTTGAAGAACCCAGAAGCATATAATACCTATTCTATGATCATAAGAGGAAAAATTAAAACTCGGGGGGGGGGGGGATGTAAGAAGATTAAGCAGATAGTTCATATTTGGAAGAAGACACAATTATGCAGAATGAGAAAGAGAGAGTTGGATTACATGATCATAATAGTATTGTACATGAAGCTCTTAGAAATAACAGTGATCGAGGAGAAATGGAAAAAGGCAAAATGACTTAAATTCATTCACTTGCGGCAAACACGAGCAGTAGGCATAGTGACACAAATAGCATTATATTTCTTCTTAGCTTCTGGGGTTCCTCGCTGAGGCTCTTCTTCAGCAAAAGCAATCTTGGCGATGGAGCATGCAGCCACAGCTGCGCCAGCAAACACCAGATCCCTCCTTCCACTGTTACCTCCTTCTTCCTTTCTGCTCTTCATGGCTTCCACATTGACCCTTTCGCCCTCTGTGGCTTTGGCCACTATGAGGCTCCTGCGAGGGGTTGAAGATAAGGGGTTTTTGGTCATTGCACCACCCATGAATGAAGCAGCCATGGTCATGGAAGCCATTGTTGCTCTGATGCCAAGTGCGGGACAGTTCTTCAGGTTCTGCGAAAAATGTGTCAAAGTAGGAAGGGAATAAGAGGAAGCTAAATTAAAGATCGTCCGAGCTGGGGTTACTAGAAAGGACACAATCCGTTTCCTTATCTAGATCAATAGATTCCTCCATTGGGTTTCTGCCACGTGTAGCGCAGTTTTATCTGAAGGAGAATGGATGGCTTCTGTTTCCCTTCTTTTCATCACCAAATCGAACAAAAATTGATGGACCTGGAAGTCTCTAGCTGGAGGTTGGGGCAGCGCAAAAGATTTAAATTTAGGTAGAGTAACACAAATATAGTTTGCAAATAATTCAGGAATGAAAACATTTGTAGTAAATTGAAGCCCAAATATTCTCTTGAACCTTTTGGTTCTTTGACTTCTTAATGGGCTTCTGGTTCTTAGACTTTCAGTGTCACATAAAAAGCCGGAAAAATTGGGGATAAATTCCTGTTGAAAATTTAATTAGCAAATAGAACCTAAAGATTTTGTGCAACTTAACTTCTTGTGCATGTAACTTATCTTTCCTTAAGTGTAATTTATCTTCCCTTGTGTGCAATGATCTTCCTTTGTGCGATGTGCAACTCAATTTCTCTTTGTACAAATAAAATAATCTTATGTGCAAGTCATCTTCCCTATGTGCAAACTAATTCCTTGTATCCAAAAATATTTTGTGCAAACTATCTTTTCTTTGTGCAACTTATCATCTTTTGTGTGCAATTAATCTTTCCTTGTGCAATCAATCATCCTCGGTCCCATTTTCCAATTAAATTTTCAATGAGGGATTTATCCCTAATTTTCCCTAAAAAGTATTGAGATTACTAATGGGAGTTAAATTTTGCAGAAGGAGATAATTTTTCATAATATGATAAATAAAGATTCAAATTTTTGTTAAGAGATATATTCACCTCTAGTATCTGAAAATATCTTGAAAAGAATTACTTGAGTGCTCCATGGACTTACCCTTAACAGTATCAATAAAAAAAGAATAATTAAATACGCCAATTATACCTAGCGGATTATATCCCCGCTAATATGCATGAAGCTCATGTGGGACAGAAATAAACATATTATCGTTTTGTTGGAATAATTAGAGTTTTTTCTCTCCCAAGGTTTGCTGTATAGGTTTTTTTTTTTTTTTGCCATTCGTCTTTTAGGGTTTAATTCTCACCTAATGTGAAGCGCTCGCGAAGCAAATAAACATATTTTATTTATTATACTCCCTCCAATCCTAAATATAAGACCCATTTGTTAGTATGAATTATACTACAAAATAAGTTTTATATTTAGGACCGGAGGAGTATTTTGTAAGAATTAAGTGTATTTTTGTTTTCCCCTACATTGCTGTCTATTTTAGGCTGCTTTGCTTGGTTGTCTTTTAGGGTTTATCTTATGTAAAAAATGAAGGTTATGCAACAAATATGCACATAAATTTGACATTACTATAACATATGAAATATCTTTTTTTGTTGTTGTAAGAATCGATCTTATTATATTGCTTAATTAATTGGAAAAAAAATTCAAAAATTATACTTTATGACGAACTTTATTATTATTATTATTATTATTATTATTATTATTATTATTATTATTTGCATTTCTTTTTTAATATAATATGTTACATCTACTACTATTAGTTAGCTTTAACAATTGTCAAACTTAAACAAGGAATATATCTTTTTAAAGACATTTTTTTTCCATTCATACAAATTCAGATTTGATGATCGAAGACCTCATGTCTAAGCAGCCTTAACATCTTCCATATGGACTAAATGCTTGCTGGTTGTTTTTACCTACTCCTCTCACTCTCTCCCTCCCTCACAATAAAACATTTAATCTCAAAATAAAATAAGTATTACTGTTACACAATAAGTTGAAAACCATTTACAATTTTTCCCCACATCTAATAGAGGGAAAAAAAAATTAAAAACCAACCACAAGAAAATTAATCATACGTACATTCAAAATCGCATGCAATATATAAACAAAGTTTATTCACGGATAATTTATTCAGGGAGAGTTATCAAGAGGTCCCAAAAAAAAAAATACCGAAAAGTTTCAAAGACAAGTTACCAGTTTGAATTTACTATCATTCCCAACTCTAAAACTTGTCACTGGTTACTCTTCCCTTATTAATTGACTTTAAGGTAATTAAATCCCCTTTTTTGAGACCTAATTGTAATTTTCTCTTTATTTTGTGCACAAGTTTGTTTTATCTTTTGGTATTTACATATATACGCGTCACTTACTCTTTCATGCGTGTGGCCAATCTATAATAATATGTGATCTGAACTCTATAATATAAATAGCGTTCAACAACACAGTTTCATCACAAGCAATAGGGTACTTTATCTTCATCTTTCTAAAGCAGCCATGTCTAGCACAGCTGGTAAAGTCATCGGGTGCCGAGGTGAGCCATATTGTTCGTAACTACTATTAATCTATATCTCATTTGGTATAAGGTATTGAAAATAACAAATAGGGACTACGATTGTAATTGATAAAATCATTAAAAAAATATTTATTATGAGCAATTACTAGTTACATGATATTAGACAAATCTATTGAGGTGAGATTGAAAATACCACATCTCACCATGGTATTTTCCAATCCCATGTGTAAATAGGTTTGTTTAATTCCACGTAACAAGAAATCTTTCATACTAAATACTCTTTTAATAAGTTTTGTTAATCTCAGTTCCAATTTTCATCTCTCATTTTTAATGATTCTTAATAATAAGGGGCATATATTCACATACAACTTGAGAGAGGTCTCATAATCAATTCTCTTTTAATTTCAGGCCGTTGGTAATTATCTCCTTAAATCAACTTTTAATTTGCATCACCCGTGCTTTGTCATTTTAATCGTGTGCTAGGAATTTTGGAGTGATTTCATCTAAAAGCAAATTGTCAAAGAAATTTTTTTGTGAATGAAAGGTTACCGATTTAATTTCATTTGTAATTTCGAGTTATTAATGCTTATTTTCCCCTTAAATCGATGTTGAATTTATATATCACCCTTTGTCGTTTTGATCGCGTTCTGGGATTTTCGAAGTGATTTCATCTGAAATTCAAAGAGATAAAAGAAGGAAGAGACTGTGTTGTTCGCACATTGTTTTGGTATGATGAATTTTTCTTGATTTTGTCATAATACTCCTCCGGTCCTTAATATAGGACCCAATTCTTGAGTTGGTTTTGGTCCTAAATATAAGACCCATTTATCATATTTATCAATTTTCTCTAAATTACCCCTATGGATGTTCCCTCAACCATAATTAAGTAGAAGAGGGAGTGGGGGTATTAAGAAAGATGATCATGGTGTTTTAGGAAAAATGTATCATTTTTCTTATAATTAACTAACTTACCTAACTTCCTTAATCTAATCAAATTGGTTAAATGGGTCTTATATTAAGGACCGGAGGAGTATTTTTTTTTCACAAATTTCATTTTTTTAGGTCATTGTTGTTGTATATATATACACAATGTACTGTAGCGACAGTGGCCTGGGAGCCAAGCAAGACACTTAGGTACTGGTGATAGAAGCAGAGGTTGCTCCTCCACAAGGTGGGGAAGATCGTTTGAAGATCCTCTTTACCTCTTTGCCGTACTGATGTTTACTTCTGGCCGTTCTGGGATCCCAAGTTAATTTAATATAAGAACTTGTTTAACATTTAATCTAATATTAAATGAAAGACTCCAACCTATTTTATTTTTTATATTTATTTATTCTTTCTAAAAATGATTGATAACTAAAAGGTTTGTTTGGATTGATGGTGAAAAAAGTAGCTTATTTCCAATATGACTTATGGAAAAGTAAGATTGAGTAAAAGTTAAATTGGATAAGGTGAATTGTATTTGGATTAGAGTTTAAAAAAATTAGTTTGTAAAAGTTAGATTAGGTAAAAGATTGTTTGAATTATAATTGAATAAAAATAAGTTTGTTTGTAAAATTATCAAAATTAGTATGAGTTTTAATAAATAATAAAATGTGAAAAAAAATAAATTTACATAATACAATAAATTTAAATTAATTTAATATGAACAAGTGAAATTTAATAAGTGAATTAAAATTTAAAACTTTAAAGAAATCATAAAAAAATTGTAAATATAAAGTGAAACATGATAAAAAAAAATGAATTTACATAATACAATAAATTTAAATTAATTTAATATGAAGAAATGAAATTTAATGAGTGAATTAAATTTTAAACTTTAGAGAAATCATAAAAAAATATTGTAAATATGAAGTGAAACATGATAAAAAAAAATCACATAATACAATGAATTTAAATTAATTTAATATAAATAAGTGAAATTTAATGAGTGAATTAAATTTTAAAACATTAGAGAAATCATAAAAAATTATTGTGAATATAAAGTGAAACATAATTTCAATGGATAACAACCTTTTTTTTAACTCCAATTCATTTTATTGTGACAAGGTCAAATGAAATAATATTATATAATTAATTAATTGATAAGTCATGGATAATTTGGTCTCTGATTGCATCACGGACACGATTCATATGCGATGAAGACTGTGATGTTACATTTAAAGATGATAGTTGACTAGTTTCAACCTGATCATGTTCGTCAACTATATTACCATTTTTAGCTTATACGAAAAAGGGGTCGGAGCTTGAATGTCTCATTATAAGGTTATGAATGGCCATTATTGCACAAACCATGTACACTTGTATTTAGAACTCGTAACTATGCATATTTGGTAAGATTTGAAATCTATTCTTCCAAACACCAAATGTTCTTTCTATTGTGCATATTGAATTGGAATGATAATAGTTGAAGGCTTCGTTACTATTTCAGAATGTTACTTGTCATCAGAAGTCTGGAAGGTAGTAGTGCTCAGATCTATATAGACCTAGATATCCATTTAATGTTGGATATCCCGTATCAATCAAGTAATATTTTCCCAATGATTCATGAAACAATTTGTGATATTGTGAAATTAATAAAAATATAAAATAATTAAAATTAGCTTAATTGAAGCTTATAAATATATACTTGGAGGTGGATGAGGGAAATTTGGAGATGAA